AATGGCCTTTCCACAAACTTCTGATTTTAAAAAGTTCACTTAAATATAATAGAAAGCTAGAAAACACATAGGAAAATTCCCATGCTCACTCTGAATATTCTGTAGCAGAGGTTCTTTTAAAACAAGCTTTTCATGACCCTGCTGAATCCAGATCCTCTCCTTAGAAAAATGCATATGTGCACATCCAAAATGCAGCAAACAATCTAAAAGGTTAAAAAAAAAGCCTTCAAGTTTATTATCAGTCAGATCAAGAACTTGTTACAATGTTTCCAGAACACTGGAGTCTTGTTCTAAGCAAACCTGAAAAGTTATAACCAGGTCAGAGAATGAGCAGCTGGCGGGAAGGCAAGGTGGAGAAAGATGAGTCACAGCCGCACTCGGAAGCGACACTGCAGCAGTGTTTACTCATCTGACAAATATTTACTGGCCCTGTTGATACTCTGAGAACTGTTAATAGATATGATACTCATCAAACTCTGATGCAGCTAACATGGTTCCTGCTCTCACATCCATCAGGGGAAAGAAAATCAATGACGTCCTGAGAGTAACCACAAACTGACAGACACTACTGGAATAACAATGTATTTTATGAGAGCCTACAACAAAAGGACCCACCTTAGTTTGCAGGTTCACAAAAGCTTCCCTTTTAAAAAAAAGTCAACATGAGAGGTATCCACTAAACAAGAGTTAAATGTGTAGAAATCTATACACATATCTGGGGGATGGGGGATAAAATTTTAAGTCTTCCATTGTGAGAGTCGCATATTCGAACACCCTGTGGTGGAGGCAGTGTGGAGATTAGATAGTTGTACTATGAAATTAGGAAGATGTGAGTTCTCTTATTAACAGCTTTCTTCTTAACCTGCTATCTTCTGATAAAAATTAAAGTATGTCTGTATTCATCATAGGATGGTAGAAAAAATTAAATCAGAGAATAGAGGAAAAACACTTTGCTAAATGGTGTGGCACACAGTAATTGTTCACTGTTAGTGATGATGATGAGGATAGATAAGTTAAGCAAACCTCTTTTTAGTATGTATTAAAATTACCTAGATATACCAACCCTATTATAAGTGTTAATGGTTCCTATAGCCACCAGTACAAATATACAAGACAATATACAAGTCACTTAGATATTTTAATAATATTTGCTTGTCACTTTTATTTATATAAATGTGCTAAAAAGAGCTGTATTTAGACATAGCACAAATATACTCAACCCTTGCTATCCATGGAAGATTGGCTCTAGAATCCACCTCCCTTGGATTCTAAACTACTAAGATCAGGCCTACTATCAAGTCATGCTCAAGTCTCAAGTAGTCCCTCATTCCCCCCATAGAATCAGTAGATGTGAAAAGGTGGCCTCCCATATCCTCGGTCTTCACATCCCACAAATACTATAATTTCCAGGCACGTTTGGTTGCAGGTGCAGAATCTGCAGATACAGAGGGCCAACTGTACTGACTGGAACAAACCTTGTTTAAGTAGATTGCACAGTTAAGCACATGTTGTTCAAGGGTCAACTGCTCGTGTTATCTCTACCTAAGAACTAAACTATAGTATGTAACCATCAGAATTCTTTTGTTAAACAAACCAACTTACTAATTGTGGGAAATGCTTAAGTGAAACAAGCTGAAGCATAATTTTAAAAAAAACCTTTATATTTTACCTTACCTCCACAAGAAGTATTATTATGGATCCCCAGATATGGAGAACCTAATACTTATCCACAAGTCTTTTAATATTCAAGGAAACATATCCTTTTCATAGATAAGTTCTCTCAGATAGATTACCATTATATATTACCATTGAGTGTGGAGCATATTTTCCCTAAACAATTGTCTATAAAACATCTGCTGGCCTGAAGGTAAGAACTGAAACAGCAAGACACAATTTCTATACACAGAAGTGCAGCATTACCTGGAAAACTAGTCTTCATTATATCAACTCCAACTTGCAGCTCAGGCTCAGCTGCAAGAACCGCATAGTCCCCTTGATGTGAGATGTTAAAGTTGAAATTGGGATAAGGATTCAACGAGTCCTTTGCAAGAACTGGTTTTCCTTTTGCAGTTCTTTGCAAACGGATATTATTCCAAGGGATATGCAATTTCTCTGCAACTAATTTCCTTATCATCAGACGACCAGCCTGTTAAGTACATAGAACATTTGTTATGTATTGATGTCAACTAAAGAGATAGGTATTCTGCCTCTAATACACAAAGCATAAATATTTTCATCATTTCTAAAATGTTCATTTTAAAAAGTCCACAAAGTTCCTAAGTATTAAACCTGCTATATTAAGATGAAAGCAATGATTGATTAAATAGGTTAAAGTCCAGTTTAGCAATTCCCTTTCTTTAAACAGTAACAATGTTAACAGCAGGTATCTTCCCAGTCTTTCCTCTAAGTATTTAAATATATATACATTTGCATATGTCTTTGCTAACTCTACATGAACACATATGAGGTCATACTTACAGAGTATTCTACTGCATACAAGGTTTTTAATCTGTACTTACTGGGAATTACTTCATGTCTGTACTTACTGGAATTGCCTGTGCACTTTTAACCGTAATATTTTATAGCATTAAAGTACAAAAGACATACTATTCCCCAATTATTGGGCACTTTAGACTGGCTCTAGATTCGCTTTTATAAAACTCCCCAGTAAATAGCCCTATTATTACTACTTCCGCTCATCTATGTATTTCTAGATCCTATACCCCCACCGCTCAGCTTCAACAATTAGCAAGCCATGACTTTTCTTCAGTCTCTCCTATCTCCATTAATTATTAAGACAGAAATTACTAAAAGCAGGAAAACCCCAAGGGTGTAGGACAACAAAGGATTTTCAAAAAACACCTTTCAAGGTTTCTCCTTCCTTCAAGTCTAGCACTTAAAATAAAAAACTCCAAGCCTTTGGAATTAACTTCATTTTACAATTTCTTACAACTTACACAAAGTGTAAAAAATATTCACCAATATGCTTTCAAAAAATAATCAACTACCTCACATTTCAACCAGAAAAGTGCTTCAATATGGTACACTTCCAAGAACTGGGTGTATCTGAGGAGACGGATATTGCAGATTGTTTCAAATTCTACTATATAGTAGCGTACGTATTTAAAAATACGTAAACAAATAAACCTACTTAAAATACTGTTTCCTAAGGCACCTAGTCGGGAAAATATGCCTGGGCCTGTATCTGACTTGGGCTTTCTTTTCACTGGTAAAAGGCAGCTGGCTCAGGCCTCCTCCAGTCCCAAGGGTGTGCAAGGCCATAAACTAAGACATGTCAATATTTTCTGGGGCCTACCACGTGGAGGGCACCATTGGGGGGTGGTAGAGTATTTAATAGGTATACTAAGCATGGATGATGAACTCAAGCAAAGAAAAAAACAGAATTTAACATTTAAAAATAAAAACATTCATTACAGAAAAAAAGAAAGTTATTGCATAGGCCTTTCCTATACTTATTGTTTTTTGGAGGGTCTCTATTTTCAGTTGCACTGGGGGAAGAGCTAATTTTCACAGCCAGGAAGGCCTCCAAGGAGGTTACAAAGACCGTGCAGACCAGGCCGTGCGCACGCCAGACGCGCTGCAGCGCCGACCACCCCGGCCCCAGGAGGCCCCCCTGGGGTCCAGGAGCGCGGCGTCCACGCCCGGGCGGGAGGTCTCCACAGCCCGGCCCACCTCCCCCAGGATTCGTCTTCCTCGGCTCTAAATACCAAAAGACCAGAAGTACCATGGCTGCCTTAGCGTCCCGGGCAAAGACGAACTGGCCAATGCGTTCCTTCTCCTCGGGCTGGATCGATCGCACTGCCAGAAGCCATTCTGCTCGGCTCGGCAGCCAAGTGCCGCAGGAAAAGGCCCAGCGCACGCCCTCCATGGATGGCACCAAGCAGACCCGCTTGGCTGGGAAAACCATACACAGGGAACCGACACCTCCGCCACCTCGGCCTGATGGCGCGGACGCTAGCGTAGCCCCGCCCCCGTCTTTCCGGCGTCGGTGCGCAGGGGGCGGGGCCTCCCGGCACAAACAGCGCAGACGCAGGAGGGAGGGCCTCCTGACCCTTTCTAGCCGGCGCCGACGCAGGGGGCGGGGCCTCTCGCTACGACAGGCGGGCACGTTGCCCTCTGAGAGCGCTCACTGCCCCGCCCCCCGCTCAGCCCCCGCCTGTAGGTGGAAGCTGCCGGGGTGGCCGCAGACACCAGCCTCCGCGCAGTGCCGCATGGTGTGACGTCACGTGGGACGTGGCTTCGGAGGCAAGCGCAGGGAGGGACCAAGGCAGAGAGGCCGGCAGTTATGCCACTCACACTTGGGGAAGAGTTAACGGGACAGCGGTGCAAGCCAATCGCAACCAGTTCTCTGGCGGCAGGGAGACTGGGTGGAGACTGCGGAGACTGCAGTTGCAGGTGGGTGAACTCCGGGGTCTGAGAGAGGAGTGGGATGGTAGCGCATTATTCCCACGCCCTGGGTTTGGCCCCAGAGACCTACATAAAACAGGATTTCCCTGGCGTCAGCTGTTTCTGTCGCTTCTGTGTGCTTGGGGGCAGGAGAGGTTTCCGTGGTTAGGAAAGGTCTGCCGTGGTGACCCCTGGAGTTGTGCAACGCGGCAACCCTGAGTTGCACCTTCCCTGCCTCCCAGTCCCATCCACCCTCACACCGGACGCTTCCTACCCATAGAGCCACCTGCCCTGAGACCCTCCATCTGAAGGCCAGACACTACCCCCGGTGCGGGGCACGGGCCCCGCCTGAATCCGGGACTGTCAGCGAGCAGCTGGGCCATTGCTGACCGCTTACTGCGGCGATGCAGTGACCCAGGTTCTGTTTTGTAATTGCTAGTGGGCCCTAGGGAGAAACTGAGGATTCCATTGTGAGTGGTTCCGTCGTAAGAGAGGTCCTTGCTCTTGGCAGCAGAACCGAGTAAATAACTTAAGCAGCCCTTCAGATTTTCTCAAAGCCTTTCCCCAGGTTTTCTCAGACTTTATGAAGGGTCATATTGATGTGTGCATCTGTTTCCGTGGCTATTACGTGTAGGCTGTTGTTGACTTGAGAAAGCCCCTGCGATCGATGTCCCCTGTGAGTTTCCGCCCAGGAAAAAGTAGGGCTCTGCAGGTGAGTGTATGTGCCTCACTCGGTGGTCCACCGCTGTAAATGCCATCCAGGCAATTTCTTTTCTTTGGCTGCCAGGAGTAACGGCCAAAGGCCAACAGTAGAATTAACACAATTACTTGCCTATTATTTCTATTCTCTTTAAAATTTATGCTTGTTTCCATTAAGTTTTCATGATATCATAAACTTCCTTAAATCCTCTGCAAGTAGATGGAATTTTGAACACTCACAGAAACAGAGAAATACAAATCTTCAAAGCTCATAAAATGATATATGAACGTGATATATTAATTTAGTTAATACTTACTAAAAACCCGTGCCAGGTGCTGTATTTAAGATGTTTACTACCTGGCAGAGCTTACACTCTGGCAAGACAGCAAAGCAGATACATTGAAAGCTGCAGTAAGAGAAAGAAAGTGTAACGGTAAAAAGCACCGTGCTGGTCATGCCGCATCAGCAATAACTTTGTAACTTTCCGTTAAAACTTTATAACTTTCCATTTTAACTTTATAACTTTCTTTCCTGTCTTTTATAACTGATATCTTTTCTGTTTCTAAAACACTTCTGTGTACATTATCATACATGCCCTTCTGTGCATTAGTTACTACTGATGGAGAAGCTGAACTCAGAAAGAAAATTCGTGGCATTGTTTGAATTCAAGTTTAACAACTTGTATCCCATTCTGTTACCATTGAACGGGATTTCTGTCTATTAGATCTATGGAGCCTAATATACAGGCAGGGAATGTAGTGGTTATTTGCACCAGTTCTCTCTGTCTAGAATATTCCCTGTCCTTGCATCACCACATTCCTTTTTCCTCTGTATCAGGCTCAAATGTCATACCAAAGAGAGTATCTCTGCCCACCCAAAGGATAGCTGATTCTCTCCACTGCCTACTACCAGCTCCAAGTTTAGTACCATGGTGAACACTATAGGTTTGTTTAATTTAATCTTTTCTATTTACCTTTTTTTAGAACACCTCAACACACATGCTTTTTTTGCTTTTTAAAATCTTACTTGTCATCCTTCAAAGCTTAGCTTAAACCTCACCATCTCTTAAGGCCTACTCCAGAGTAGTTTTCTTAAAAACAGTATTGTTTCTATAATTCATTTGGCAGTTCCTCTAGTACTACCCCATGACATCTCTCCTGTTATAATGAATTATTTTCATGTGTATTATCCTGAGATATAAAACTACTTGAGAGGAAATTTCGTGTGTACTTTAATTTTTACAAGTGGTATACAATAGATTTTACTCTCAGGGCTAAGACTGATTTTTACATTCTGTCTGCTTTCCCTCACTTTTAAAAAGAAAATATAAATATGCAGTTCATAACTTGCTTAACTACATTCAATAACCCCCCACATTTTATTAAAATATTTTTTATTGCATTGGTCAGGGAAGGAAGAGAACTAAAATACTAGAGGCTAAGCCAGTTTGTGAGTAATGGTCATCTTGCCTGATCCTGATCTGTGGCTCCTTAGCAGGCTTCTCAGAGAATTGTATCCTGCATGTTTCCAGCTCTACCGCCAATTGTCTGTGTGACTTTGGGTAAATCACATAGCCTTGTTCAGGTATTAATTCGAATGGAAAAGCATCACATGAGATTAGAGATTATTCCTAAGTTTAGCTTGTTTTGTTTTGTTTTGTTTTCAGTTTTTGGGCTGGGACTGGGTTTGAACCCACCACCTCTGGTTTATGGGCCCCCGTCCTACTCCTTTGAGCCACAGGCGCCACCCTAAGTTTAGCTTTTTATTGGGTCACAAACTTCATTCTACGCTGACCTTTTTTTCCTAAGACTTTGCTGAATAGCTCCATAATTCTACCAGATTCTCAAGGGACTCTTCTTGTCTCTTACCCTCTAGATCCAATCCATCCTATACTGCTATTGGTTCTACTTCTAAAATAGGGCTAAATCCGTGTATTTCTTTTTATCAGCAGTGTTTATACTCTAGTTTAAACCATCATCATTTCTCACTTGAAATACTGATTAGTTTTCCAGCCTCTTCTAATTCTGTCCTCTATGCCTTAAGTACAACTTGTCTTGAGAGCTAGCTGTAGAAAGCCAGGCCCTTAATCACTATGCTGTATCCCCTTTTAATTAGACTGAGGAGAAGTTAGCAACATAGGAAACCTGAAGAGTGTTTCAAGAAAAGGGACTAGTAACAGAGTGAATATTCCTCAAAGGTTAAAAGAGATGAGAAGAGAGAAGTGAGCATTTGACTTCAAAATGGTAGTGTGGTGACGATGACAGGGACAGCTTTAGCATTGGTCAGGTAAAGGAGGAGAACTTGGCTGCAGTGGATGGAGGTGATGCTACCATGGAATGTTTTAAAGAAGGCTTTCTGCATTAGGGAGTAGAAAAATGGGATGTCGTTAGAGGGTAATGTAGCATCAAAGGATGGATTTTTATTTGACGTTTATTTAAAGATGAGAGATAGTAGAATTTTTATACTGATGGGAAATGCCCAGTAGAGTGGGAGAAATTATTAATGTGGTACACAGTGTGTAGCTGTGTAGTGTGTAGTGTTTGTGTGTGTTTTCCACTCTAAAGTATACTCCAGAGGAAAGGACCTTGTCTGTACTCCTTTTTTTTTTTAATTAAATCATAGCTGTGTACATTAATGCAATCATGGGGTACAATGTGCTGGTTTTATATACAATTTGAAATGTTTTCATCAAACTGGCATTTTCTTAGTTATTGTGTTAAGACATTTATATTCTACACCTAGTAAATTTCACATGTACCCTTGTAAGATG